TCTCCGAGGACGGAGACTCCGCAACCTCCCTGGAGAACCTCTGCCAGTGCTCGCTCACCCCCACAGGGAAAAAGTGTTTCCCGATGTTCAGAGGGAACCTCCCGTGTTCCAGCTTGTGCCCGTTGCCTCTGGTCCTGCCGCAGGGCACCCCTGAGAAGAGCCTGGCTCCGTCCTCTTGGCGTCCTCCCTTCAGGTATTTACAGACATTGATGAGATCCCCCTGACCCTTCTCTTCTCCAGGCTGAAAACTTCTTTCTCTGTGCTTCTCTGTGCGCGCTCCCTGCAAAGAAGAGCGAGCTTTTAAATCAGCCAGAAACCTTTCAGAACGCAAGCGCTGTGGACTGCGTGTTGTCTGTGGATCCCAGATTGCTGCTTCAGCCGGTCTGGAGTCTCCTCGGTCCGAGACAGAGCAGCTCTGTCTTGAACAGCGCGTTAGGCTGGGCGCCGTGCTGTCGCCACAGAGGCTCAGAAACCGGATTACAGGATCGAGGCTTCGGATTGTACCTCCTTAACAGTCCACAAAACCCAATGTTCTGGCACGGCCTTGTTTCTGTTCCCAAAAACGCTTTGGAAAAAACCACATACTGTAGAGACTGGCTGCTTTGTACGTTGGAAATGGCTTGTTGGGGCTTTCAAATCCTGAGTCCAGACCACATCGCCAGCGAATGAGGTGTGTTGCGGTGCCTGCCAGATCAGTTTGCAGCCCGATCTCGTTCCTCCTCCTCTTCCCATTTCAAGTTTGCTCCCTGCAACCAATTTTCCAGCCTCTTGGCCTGTCTCGAATGTGTTAAGCAGCGATTCTTCCGCCACTTTGTTTAAAACCCTCTTTTGCTGTCTTCTGAATTTCACAGCTGGCATCTGAAGAGGGCCCGGTGGAGGAAACGGGCCCGGCGGTCTCCGTCGAGCTCTACTGAGCAGGCATCGCCTCTCACGAAAACTGTCGCTGCTCCTGTCCCTGCTGCTTGACAGCCCGGGCAGTGGCCAAGGATTAAATGGACTTTACAGAGGGCTTTGGATTCTCTTACATCATTTCACCCAACAAAAGTGTAACCACGTGAAAATCTCTTAAGCATTCTCCTGGGTCATCTAGTGGTTGCTGTGAAGAACAGGAGACGTGGTTAAGCTTGCCTTTTTAGCGCTTCATCTTTGCTATGAAAGTAGAAGCTATCGTAGAATCATAGAATCATTAAGGTTGGAAAAGACCTCTAAGATCATCGAGCCCAACCGTTGACCCAACACCACCAGGCCCACTAAACCATGTCCCTAAGCGACATGTCCCTATCCAACCTCGAATCCGCAAGCTGAGCTCCACAGATAGCTTCCCCTGCTACTCCAGTTCCTCTTGCACCTAAATACATCATTTCAGCCAAAAATGCGCTGGGATGCAGGACAGGCAGTGTAGATACCCACAGGTGGTTAAACATTGGAATGTTTATTTGAGTGGTTAAACATTGGACCAGGCTGCCCAGGGAAGTGGTGGAGTCCCCATCCCTGGGAGTATTTAAAAGACGTGTAGATGAGGCGCTGAGGGACATGGTTTAGTGGGTGGTGGTGTTGGGTCGATGGTTGGACCCGATGATCTTAGAGGTCTTTTCCAACCTCAGTGATTCTATGATTCTATGATTCTAGGTGGAGAAGACTCTGGGTCCTCTTCTGAGTGCTTACTGGGAGAGAGCGTGCTGCTGAGGCTGGTGGTCAGGCTTGGATCGCTAACACGCCTGCGCGTCTTCACGCAGCTGAGAATGGCTCTGGAAATACACGGTTAAAATTCGACCCACGGGATTTTGCTGCCTGAGAATGTACTATTTCACGTTGCGTTCTGAATTTGCAGTGAGGACGGAAACAAAATTAACCGGGTGCTGTGAAGGAAGAGGTTGGGCTGACGGAGCAGCGTTACTGATCGACACGAAAGTGGTCGTGGCTGTGGCATGAGCGAGACGAACGTGAAATGGGCCTGATCGGGGAAGAGACGGTTAC